CTATCTATCTATCTATCTATCTATCTGTCTGTGTGTCTATCTATCTATCCATCCATCCATCCATCTATCTATCTATCTTTGTCTGTTGATCTATCTGTCTATCTATCTATCTATCTATCTGTCTATCTATCCATCTATCTGTCTGTGTGTCTATCTATCTATCCATCCATCCATCCATCTATCTCTGTCTGTTGATCTATCTGTCTATCTATCTATCTATCTAATAATATTGTGACGTAAAGTTCATAACTTGTTTTGCTACATGGGCTACTTACAGTATACAGCCAGATCATTCATTTTTGAATGGAGAAGTTATTTGAAAATGAACAAATCGTCTGGTTATTTACCTTTATGAAGTTGCAAACAGTGAAATATTAAAATATCAGAATGCTCCCTCAGTTTTATCAATAACTTTTTTGTAAATTGTTGATTTTTTGTATGTACATCATTACATATTATTCATTGGTAATTTTATATATTTAAAATTAGTTATAGACCTACCTAAAATTTTCATCAGCCATTACTTCAGTCTGCTAAGAAACTGTTACATGAACTGTTGTATGTGAAGAGTAGCCTATATCGAAATAATTAAGACTTTAGATTTTCTTCTAGAAACCATTGCTTTAGAAAACAAAAAATCATTCTTAACTTTTCGCCATTTATTTATTTAATGCATTAATTAATTCATTACATAATAAAACTAATATATAAATCAGTTTCTTAAAAACCCAAGACTTAACTCTTTAAAAAAAAGTCTCTAGTGAATGTAGATGCTGCCATCTAGTGACAAATATTCAAGTCACCTGGAATAATCAACCGTCTATCCTTGAATACAGCAAAACTCTTTTTTTATGTTAAATGTAAAAAAAATTGTCATGCAAATATTTTTAATATGAAGTAAATTTGTGATATTATTTGCAGTCTAAATGATTGGTTTCACGCCAGCAGGTCTTCAGTGAGGTGCAAGGGCACACACTTGTAGCAGCTCAACACGTTGTAACAGCCTTTTATTAAATGTTATCCAAATACCAGCCACATCTGTTAGAAAGAGACAAATTCTGCAGAATTATTTCCACGTGCTGTACTTGTAAAACCAAAAACATCCAATAAACTGTTTCTTTAAAAGTGTCCGTTTAAAAAGAGCAGAACATCCTGAGTTTATCATTTTTTACAGAACCATCTCACAAATAAATGCTTTCAGGAAGTCATTGGAGTGGAGCTGAGGTTGCAAAAACAATACAGACATGAGAGGAAAAACCAGGCAGTCTTCGTACATTGGAATATATAATTCATAAATGGTTACAACAATTGAAACATGTTATAAATGGATAAAAAAAAGCAGGCCAAATTATTGAGTCTTACTAAAACTGCAGATTTATGAATCTCTGACTTAGACAAGCGTCTGACAGCACGTTTGAATAACTAAATACTTCTGAATAATCTCTTTTAATGCACGTCAAAAAAAAGTCTTACTATACAGTTGAGCGAACAGATATTTATTCATAATATTTTCTTGGGAAATCATGAATGCTGACAAACTGCGAGTGCTATTTTAGTATGTCTTACTCTACATTCCTCATTAGGGTTGAACTATAGAGGCTGTAAATGAAGATATATTAATATATGTGATCAGTTCATTATTAGAATCATAACAAAAAATACTTATGGCATTAAGATACTGAGCAACTCTTGAGGTAACAGGTTTAATGGCAATGAATGAAAATGAACATATTGTACCAAACACATGGACATTAGAACTTTTTGCAGTACAAATCTGTGCAACCATGGAATATATTAGGGTTGAGATTCATTTCTTTTCAGTTTAAAGAAAGAGAAAATCCCTTTAAATGTGTGACTTTTTCTTGACCGCACCTGAGTTGGATATATCCGTCTCAAATCCTGTTTGATTAACCTTATACAACTAACTTATTTTAAGCACAAAACACAAGAACGATCAATAGTTGATCAATAGAATTTAGCTTCAGTTACGAATTACACTGAAATTTTACCCCATAACAAACGTATGCAACCTTCATGCTTTATCATAAAAAAACAGCACCAGACTGAATTAAATCAAGTTTCCAACACAACTTATTAATAATGACTTTGTTTAAAATCACTTGGTCAAAATGTGTCTTTGTCTATTAAAGAATGAGAAGACGGACTGACTTTGAATCTCTTTTGTAAATTGTATACAAATCGTCAGTTTTATCTGATGATTTTATTAGCCCTATCTCTTATTAAATGTTGTGATAGTGCTTTTGTAACCACTAAAGCAAACAAATAAATTGTGGTAACAAAAGCCGCCTGACCAAGATGACGGTAATGGATCCCTTTATACATAAACCTCTTGTGTTGTGTAAAGTTTTGTCCCTTTTGCATGCCTCTGGTCTTCATCTCTCATGGTAACTTTGCGATAACTCTCAGGAATTCATTCCTTTTGCCATTTTTAGACTTGTCCTCCATGTTTTGGTGGCTGTTAATGGTGTAGTGAGGAAAGTAGATTCAAACTGTGTCATCTGTTAAAAAATAAAGAGAGAAAACAAAAAGGGAGACGCAAAATAAATAAGTGGGGAATAGTTAGTCAGGTTAAGTTGTTATAGTTACACAGCATTAAGAGCGGACGTGTACAACGGCATAGCTTTCGCTGAGATACCAGTGTTGCCACTGGCATCTCTGTCAGAATAACTGTTTGGCTCAAATGCCAAATGTCAGTCGTAAACATCCCACAGACGGCCTTCAGCGACCTGTTCAAAGAGAGTTACAACACGTGTCACCTCCAGTTCAAATCAAACCTGTCTTTATGATGCAAAAACAAACCTCATTGATTCCCATGCATTAAGCAAGTATGTTTGAGCTTCTGTTATATGCATTTGTCAATCTTTATCTGTGAGTGAAAGCCTAAATTAAATCTGTACATCAGTTAAAATGATCATGTCTCTAGGTTTTGGTGTAATGGACTTTCAGTGGAGGGACAGAAAACTCTCAGGTTTCATTGAAAATGTATTTTCATTTCATTTCATTTCATTCACAGTTTGCAAACCACTGCTTCTGGCTACAATATGAGTCCTCTATCTACAATACTGCTTTTTCCAGTGAAAGAGTCATCTCATCTGAATCAGGTGAGAAATATGCTCCAATCAAGCACCGTTTACAAGTGAAAACTGTCCAAAACAATTCTAAAGAAACATGCCAGTTGATTTTGATGTGAAAGGACAACAGTTGATGGATGTATTTTAAAGGAGGAAGCGTTATTATGGACTGATATTTTGGCCACAAGCAATGGTTTAAAGTTCAAACGCTTTAATGATGTGTTTGTTTCTTACAAACACACAGCTTTTGGCTTCACAAGACACAGTGGTAAAAACTGTATAGCCTGAATGCTTTGGATAAAAGCATCTGCTAAATGCATTAATTATTTAATTATTATTAAATTAATTATTTAAGACATTAACTGATGGACTGGAGTGGTGTAGATTATTGTGATGTTTTTATCAGCTGTTTGGACTCTCATTCTGACGGCACTCATTCACTGCAGAGCATCCATTGGTGATAAAAAAAAGAAACTAATCTACATCTTGGATGGTCTGAGGGTGAGTACATTTTCAGCAAATTTTCATTTTTGGAGAGCTGACACAGTATAGCCACAAAAAATCTGCTGACGCCTGATTTGATATTTGATATCGAATGCAATGGCATTTAAATGAGGTTTAAGTGTCCAAATAACTTTTGAGGCCAGTGAACTTTCTAACATGTTTTAATAAATGAATGTGTTCATGCACCTGTGGGAGCAGCTGTATGCTGTCTGCCGCTCTTGATGTCCAAGAAAATCGTGTAGGAATCATAAGCAAACAAGATCGTTTTAGGGGGGCGTGGCAGAGTCTTAACTTTGATAAAGAATATCTCTTTGGTTTTGAGACTTTAGTCTTTGCAACTTCAGGGATCTTATCTATGCACAATCAGCTTGTAACACTCCAAAGAGAAAGGAAAACTTGAAATCGCATCATATGACCCCTTTAAAGGAACAAATGGATGGCATCTGTTGATGTGTTGTCAGTTAACACATCCCTCAGTTTGTAAAAACAAACAAAAATCTAACGGAAGTGCTTTACTGTACACATGGTTTTTGTTTATGCAGACTGAAGCACTGAAGTATTAACTTGTACTAAACCTAGAATGTTACTGTAAGACAAGATTCTTTTTCATATGTAGATAGCTCAAAAATGTAATAACATTGAAATTTAAACTTATGAGATTTTTTTTTGACCATGCTGGTGAGCAGCAGCGATTTTCCCACTTAAAGGAAAAACATCTTGGAATTCAATGCAATTTAATACAATAATAAAAAGCAATACAACTATGAAGTAAACAATTATTAATTAGACATGTATCTACCTATAAATAAATCTGACTTGTATATTAATTCCTCCACATATTCATCATAAAATATCACCTCTCTTTTAGAATGGTTAATTGGGGTTCAAAATGTTTTTAAGGTCTCAATAATTTGTTTTATGAAATTAGCCATGTTCCTTCTGTGCATACTGTCCATACAATGGCCCTATAAAGAATTAGGATACATAAAATATATGAATGTCACTGCATTAGATAAAATATCAAAGCAAGGAGCTTTTATTTCATAGAAAGATGGAAGAACACGTTTCAGGTCAAACATTTCACAACAAGAAATGTTTCGATTAGGTATTGAAATATTAGAAATACTGAACATGAAGAGATAAAGTGGTTACTCCACTAGGACCCCTGTGTAAACTTAAAGGAATAGTTCACAACAATGGATGCTCTGCAGTGAATGGGTGCCGTCAGAATGAGAGTCCAAACAGCTGATAAAAACATCACAAAAATCCACAAGTAATCCACACCACTCCAGTCTATCAGTTAACATCTTGTGTAGCCAAAAGCTGCATTTTTGTAAGAAACAAACCCATCAAGACGTATTTAACTTCAAACCACTGCTTCTGGCTACAATATGAGTCCTCTATCTACAATACTGCTTTTTCCAGTGAAAGAGTCATCTCATCTGAATCAGGTGAGAAATATGCTCCAATCAAGCACCGTTTACAAGTGAAAACTGTCCAAAACAATTCTAAAGAAACATGCCAGTTGATTTTGATGTGAAAGGACAACAGTTGATGGATGTATTTTAAAGGAGGAAGCGTTATTATGGACTGATATTTTGGCCACAAGCAATGGTTTAAAGTTCAAACGCTTTAATGATGTGTTTGTTTCTTACAAACACACAGCTTTTGGCTTCACAAGACACAGTGGTAAAAAATGTATAGCCTGAATGCTTTGGATAAAAGCATCTGCTAAATGCATTAATTATTTAATTATTATTAAATTAATTATTTAAGACATTAACTGATGGACTGGAGTGGTGTGGATTATTGTGATGTTTTTATCAGCTGTTTGGACTCTCATTCTGACGGCACTCATTCACTGCAGAGCATCCATTGGTGATAAAAAAAAGAAACTAATCTACATCTTGGATGGTCTGAGGGTGAGTACATTTTCAGCAAATTTTCATTTTTGGAGAGCTGACACAGTATAGCCACAAAAAATCTGCTGACGCCTGATTTGATATTTGATATCGAATGCAATGGCATTTAAATGAGGTTTAAGTGTCCAAATAACTTTTGAGGCCAGTGAACTTTCTAACATGTTTTAATAAATGAATGTGTTCATGCACCTGTGGGAGCAGCTGTATGCTGTCTGCCGCTCTTGATGTCCAAGAAAATCGTGTAGGAATCATAAGCAAACAAGATCCCAGCCACCAGACCGAACACCTGCGAGAAAAAGTGAGCGTTATTATGAACAGATGCCAGTAGTGCAAAATTCAGAGGAGGATATAAAGCACTAATAGATCCGATTTGATCATAAAGAAATAAATATAGCATGCATGTGATGCTGAACGTTGGATGTCTCACCCCGCCAGCGATGCGAGCCCCGTCCCCAGATCCGCCGATCACACAGATCAGAGAGGTTATGAGATAAAGTGCTGCACCGATTACAGCGCGGATGAGATCCTGAAGGGACAATCAGAGAAAATTAAAGCGTGTAAAACTCGCCACCGCAATGCTAGGCTGGACCACGATGCAAGAGTGTGAGTGAATTCATACTCACGCTCCAGAGCCAGTTCACCACCAGGAACTGTTTGTCCAGCTCCATCATGAAGACAACGAAGAAGATGATGGCAAAGACCATCTCACAGATGGCGACCGCTGAATACCCGCCATACATTGACGCGGCGTAACAGATAAGGATGATGAAACTGAGGAGCTACAGAAAACAGACAGACATGCAGTTTAACAACCTAAAAGAAACTCGATTGCATCAGTGTAGAAGTGTGTGAACGTGGTTTTGATCGGGGGTCAAGGTTTAGCTGGTTAGCATTAGCAGTTAGCCCTTGCTGATAGATACCATATTTATACAGTTCTGCATGTTTCTCTATTGCAATATTATTATTGTTAATGTCACAATAAAAGGGAAGAAGTGACAGATCTTGGCAATACTTTAGTTTAAAGTCCAATTCTCACTGCCAACTAGTTGTTTATTAGCATGCATATTACTAGCATATTGGCTGTTTATTAGTACTTATAAAGCACATAGTAATGCCTTATTCTGCATGACATCCCTCAATCCGACCCCATACCTAAACTTAACAGCTAACTTACTATCAATAAGCAGCAAATTAGGAGTTTATTGAGGCAAAAGTCATAGCTAATAGTGAGAATTGGTCCCCAAACTAAAGTGAGACCCATATCTTTTTCTGTATTCCATATCTTCTGTTGATTGTGCAGGAACAAGTTTAAGCTGATTGATTGGAGATCGACACCAGAGAGAAGTTTGTCATTTTATTATAAGAATACTTTTGGGAGTACATGACTATTATGAACGTCTAATCAAATCAGCCCATAAACTCAAACACTGCGCCGCTGGGATCTAAACAAACACTGCTGGCAACAATTAGGAAACATCAGTGGACATTAATCTGTGACTCATGGTTTGATTGTAAAGAATGACAAGTATGCAGATTGAAATAAGATTACAGAGTTTTCAACATGCTTACATTTTAAGCCTACTGACAAACCTAATGAAACATTAAATTAATTTAAAGGGGAAAAAAAGTAACCAGATTTCAGATTTCGTATATTTCTTTCATACTTGTTTGAAGGACAGTACAGGTGTTCTTGCATGGTTCAGTTCATCTTGAAGTGTTACGTTGCCATGGTTTGTGGTGGTGTTAATGATTTGTACACATGCCACTGTGAAACACCTGTGGCTTGTGTTTGCAATGATCTGCTGCCACAGTAACAACTGATAAAACACAAAGTAAGACTGTTTTCTCAAACAGGAAGATTCTCAATGTGTTAGGAGGCAAGTTTCCTGTTTTCTGTCACTTGGGGAAACAACAAAATCATGCTACCATGGCAATATCTACCATAAATAATAAATGAAACATGATTTTCTAAATGCAAGTTATTGATCTTAATGTAACGATTCACGGTTTCCCCGCCAGCGTTATAGGGTTAGTTGCCAGTCACCGCCAGCATTTTTGATCATTTTAAACAATATTTCATGGCCCCCAGAATATTTTTTGTATAAATATCTGAACATACATCAAAATAAAGATCAGAGCATCTACTTAAAAAAAAAAAATAATAATCTGTTTTATTCCAGCTTCAAAGCATTCTTTTTTTTTTTTTTTATCAAATACTACATCTGGATCATATTCAGCTTTTAAGAATATTTAGATCATGGAAATTAAGTAACAAAATATTAGATACCTTAAAAAACCTGAATAAATAGTAAATAAACATTTTCTAACAAAAAGTGCAAAGTAAGTAGAAAAAAAGAAAAATGCACAAATAACTTGTATGGAGATTTTTCCATCTACAGATTTTCCCTGACCTTCTTTTCTCTGTAAATTAACTAGCAACTCATGACTACACCACGTTATGTACGAGAAGCTGCAAAATACACTGGCGCAAGTGGAATGTACAAAACATGGTGACATTAATTTTTAAGTAAATATAATGGGCGATATGTTGCATCAACAAAAATGATTTAAGTCATGTACATATATTGTGCGATAAGTTGATATATTGATTATTGCGACAGGCCTAGTATTACATGTTATATTTGTCACTGTGTCACTTCAGGGTTTGTGTCATGTATTACTGAAACACAAATCCACTGACTGGAAATATAAATACTATTGCAATCTTTTGGAAATTAAGTGTTTTAACCACACAAACAGCACATGAGCTCATTTTCACCTCAATTTGACCAAAACAGCAACAGAATGCAGTTCTTTTCTGAGGCGCAAAATGAACTGAGAAGTGGTGTTTCAGAGTGTTTGTTTAAAGTGCCCCTATTATGCCATTTTTAAGGTTGCTAATATTGTTTTATGAGTCTCCTAAAACAGGTTTACATGCATGCAAGGTCAGAAAACACGTTGGTTTTCTCCAAAAATAGATTTAATTTGACCTAATTTCTAAATGATTCGTAAACGACTCGTGCGAAGCAGTTCAAAGAATCAGTCTCTCTAAACCCCTCCTTTCCGTGAGCCCTCACTGCTGTGATTGGTCAGATGGCGCAGTCCTTTGTGATTGGTCCAGAGCCGTAGAGAGATTGGCTCTGGATTGGTCTACCGCGAACAGCGCGTGTCGGAAACGAAACATTGCCATGACGGAATGACAGCCCTGGAGACTTGTCAGTACGTAGAAAAGATGGTATGGATTGTACCTTACCAAATCAAGCCGGAGTCTGATGCTGAAACGGTTGAACTGGCTGATCGACAAGAGACTGATTCGCAAGCAGGACTGGAGCAGGACGTTTCTCCGTGGTAAGTGTCAAGTGTTAACAAGTTTGTGGTAATTATAAGATGCGATAAAACAAATTTACTCTCACAGCGAAGGATACAGCGTCTTCTAGACATGATGTTAACCACACAGAAATTTTACTGT